CGATGCTCTTTCTGCTGTCTTTAGAGACGCAGAGCCGGAGATTCAAGTGGGAGCTTTTTGCAATCTGTTCAGAGGCAAGTGGTGTTTTAGACGATAGACGTAGGTGTTGGTGTTGATGATGACGAGCGTGAGACATAGGTCCACCAGTTGGGACTCATTCTGTGTTGTTTTTATCTGAGTTTTTAGAGCTCTCCATACCCGGATGTCGCCAATCGTAGTGTGTTCCCCTGACATCTGCTTCTGTAATCAAAGACAGAGTGCGGGAGAAAGGCATACAGACAGAGAGACAGCACAAGACACCCCAGAATGACATTGTGGAGGTGAAAAACCTCTCAGGTCGCCCCCAGCAGCACTCACCTGGGAGCTGATGTGTGAAGTTGGGGGTTGTGTGTGTGTATGTGTGTGTTGAAGCAGGTGATGGAGTTTAGCGGGGTGTGTTCAGGGTTCAAAGAGCAGCCCCTCGGAGCGCATCACGTCTTATTCTAATGAACAGGAAGGATAGGCGTACCTGCTGTTTGATTGGCTCTGGATGTGGCTGCCAAGGCAACCCCTCACCCATCCTTCTTCCTCCCTGTCTCCCCCCTTCCTTCCTTCCTTTTCCTCTCCCCTCCTTTCCCCTCCCCTCCTCCTCCCCTCCCCAGTTCCACAGCTAGGCTCACAGATGAGTCGCGCTCAGACAGGTGAGATGGCTCATGAATATTTATGCGGTGGGATTTCATTCCTCCTGCCGCTGGCCCCTCCCCCTCTCCAACGCAGTGCTGCGTTTGTCCTTCACGGTAAGAGGCAGCGTCCTCGCTCCTGTCCCTCAGGTTAATCTGCCTGCTCTCTAGCCAGTGTGTGTGTGTGTGTGTGTGTGTGTGTGTGTGACTGGTAAGTAGGTTTCCCCAAGTGAGTGATGAGAAGGCAGACCTGTCACAAGGGGGCCCGCTGAGATCGAGAGCTCCTAACACCTTCATACCTCTTTCTCTCTCTGTCTCTCTGAGGTCTGAACTGAAGCAGAAAGATAGCTAACACCCAATTTGCTGACTGTCTGTATCACGGATCCTTAAGTATAGTCTACATGAAGCTAACATTAACGACTTTATAATTAAGTAAGTCACTAATGAGGAAAAATGAAGTAGTAACCATATTGATAATCAAATGATCTTGACTGATACCCTTCCAGTTATTATACAAAACAGTTAAACAGTTAAATCTCACAGTGGAGATGTCAAATCATATCAACTTTATTTTTATATAGCACTTTACACACAACACAGTTGATCCAAAGTACTTTACAGAGGAAAACAAAAACAAAAGTAGGAAAAACCACAATAGAAGAGAAGCAAAATCAGGGTGCTGATCCATTATAATGATAACTATAAGAAAAGCAGTAAAGGCACATGGTCACACAGAGCCCAGAGTGACATCACACACCTACAGAGGCTTCAGGGGACATAACTGACGAGGATGACTCCTGAATATCTAAATAGTGGGGGAAAGTGAGATGGTAGGAGGGAGAGAATTTAATAGTTTTGGGGCAGCAGTACAGAAGGCCCTGTCCTGAATCTCAGTCAGGACAGACGGAAGTGAGACGATCTCAGTTCTCTGACAGCTTGATATGGGGACAGGAGTTCTGTAATATCAGGGGGTGAAACCATTTAACACTAAACAGATTTTAAAAGGCGTAATATGCTCCCTCCTTTTTGACCTTATCAAAACTCTGCGTGATACTAAAATCAGGGATGCATGATACTGGATTTTTGCTGATATCTGATATGCCGATATTCTGTGATAACTCATTTCAGTCTATTGCAAATGCCGATATATGCACATATGTGTTCTCACCTAATTGCAGAGAACATCAAGTCTCTCCTGGAGTGGAATTAGCATACCGTTATGTCTGCTCTTGCTGTGATGGCCCACTGGCAGATGCAGACATAAAATAAAATGCTTTTTAAAATGTAAACATGTACTGGGCAAAGTAAGAAAAGGACTTTTTTGTAACATTTCCAAACAAAACCGTGAAATTCAGCAGGCTTGGATGATGCTGTCCCTGAGACACTCCTGTATGTAGTCACAACCAGGTCACATTTGACCTGTTACTACTGAATAAAGTCACATGCTTTAAGTGTCATTTTGTCAGCCTGTTGTTTAGGCAGAAAAGTTCACACTAATTTTAAAGCCTTTATACGCCAATACCAATGATGTGATGATATTATTGTGCATCCATAAACAAAATATTTGATTGCATTCCTCAGTTTCATATAATGGTGATGAAATACCTGTGGACTTTTTAAACTTTTGGGCAGACAAAGAAGGCAACTTTTTTATATGTTGACAGTGGGATTTTAAGCTACATAAATAAAGCTGACATGACTTAGCTTGAACGTCAAGATATCACCTCAGACTCTGGTAACTGGTAATTATTTTTGTTATTTCAGAGACTAAATGATTAGTCAGTTAATGTGAAAAGGAATATACAAATGGTAGGATGTCTTGGGGGTTTTTTCATGCCGTTTTTGTGTTTGCGCTCTGTGTTGTTTTATGATTTGAGCCGCTACAACATTTACAAGAGCTACAGCTTTTAAATATGAGGAGTTATTGCTTTTCTCCTTTTTATATCATTGTAAAAAATACTACTGTTTCTTTTTCTACTGCTGGTCAAGGTAGGCATTTTAACACATCACTATGGGTTCTTTTTTATTAGATTTTTTTTTTAAATGTATGGATTAATTAGTAATGACAGTAATCGTTAGTTGCAGGCAGCCCCCTGAGCTGAGAAATCACTATGCAAACAATGTGCCAGGCCAATTCTGTTATGCTATGTTACATTACATGAGGAGGAGGCCCATATGCAGTAATTGCATCTTTAGCATTTGTTTTTACTCATTTTTGTGCCAGCTCCTGTGAGGAAATCAGATTTGCAGGAAGTGTGTTTCTCTCAAACTTTAATAGTATTATTGTAGCATGGTAAAGTATATAGCCTTGGCCCGTGTGTTTTTTTCTGTCCCAGCTCAGAGATTACCAAGAGAGCGAGATTCACCCCAATCAGACTGACAAGCCTCCTCCCAATGTGTATGTGGTGGGAGGATCAGCCGTGTTTCATAAATATATGTACATACTGTATTTGTTATTCAAATCCAAGGATAAAAGCCGTGGTGGAAGGGGTTTAGTCATGCTGCAAAAGCAACAAGACAAGAGGAGAGCCATGTTGGAGTGTGACAGAGAGGAGAGGGGGAGATGCAACCTAGCGGAGAGAGATAGAGACGGAGAGGAGAAAAAAAAAGTGGGTGCCTCTCTTTATGCTTATTAGTTAGGCATTAGCTGTAGTTAAGCGCATTGCTTGTGGGGACTGTATCATAATTGTACCATTTCAGTCTGCTGCCACCCACACCAATGCAAATATGGATAGGATCTGTTTATAATTAGCATACCTGTTAAATGTATTTGTGAGTATTGCCTAGAGAACACAGCCTTTTGTTAGCTGGCAGTTGTTTTTGTTCTGCTATCATGGGGGGTTTTTCTAGGAAACCATTCCTCAGAAGACATTTTAAGGCATACATGTAAACAAATGTGAGGATCATAGGATGTGTTTTACACATTGCCGGGGCCAGCTTTGCAGATAAGTTGAGAGAATGCAGTGTTTCTGTCAGACCTGAATATCAGAAAAACTAAAAGCTGCAGAGCTGGAGCGTGTGAGGCCCTATAGTGACAATCTAGTGGGAACCAAAGCAGAACCAAAGCAATACTAGCCTAATTAGCTGACCTGATTACTATATAGGCTGGATAAAGTATGGAAAAGGAATCATCCTCATAAGGCATAATTACAGAACAGCACATGCATGAGAATGTTTTCATCTTCACTGGAAGAAAACAGAACTGGTTTTAAGAAGCAAACACAGCCCCCCAGTACATACACTTAGCCACTTTTGAGTGCCATCATTCATCCATCTCTGTGCCGTAGCTATCTGTTATGGCTGAAGTAAACATTAAGGCCATCAGTCTGCGGTGTGCATGGAGGTGGTTGCCTCCATTTGTCCATGTCCAGTCAGCTGCGGAGAAACGGTGATGGAATCCTGACAGATTGTCTGTGTTTTGGAGCGTGTTGTTTTCCTTGCCCATCCATTTCTCTTCTCCTAGCCATGTTTGCCATGCATCATCACTCTCACTCCCTCTCCCTCCTTCCACCTCCTCCTTCCTTGCCTCATCATTTCTCAGAGGGGATGGGAGCGATGGATGGACATCCGGCTACCTGCGAGGAGAAAACTGTGGAAACACTTGTTATTAGTGAGCACTGTGTGAAGCTCTGGAGCAGCACCACACAAAGACACAACGCAACTGGCTCTTTTCAATTCTCTCGCCCCTTCTTATTCTGTCTCTATCTCACTCCATCCTCCCCCTCCCTCCCCTCCACCCACCCATCTACCTCCGTCTCCATGTCATTGTGTGCCAGCCAAACTTGTCTAATCAGCAGATTCGACCAAAAATAATTGGCGGTGGCCTTGCTGCTAGCGCGCGTCGTGCTGTATACAGATAGGGAAAGGAGCACTTAATATTCCACGCAGCCCGTGCCTCTCCTGTTCTCTGTGATATCTGACCTCTTTTGTCTCCTGCTCGGCTTGATGTTGATTTTGGAGGGCATTGTTAGCCAGAGCGCTGTGATTGGAAGAGGTTGTGAGTGAGGGGGGCTGTGGTTGGTTGGGTTAAAGGGAGGCTGATTTGCATAAAGGCTTAGCCCAGATTTGGAGCCACTCAGCGAGATCTGAGGAGAAGGGCCCGAGGGCCACGAGGTAATCATCCATGGCCTGTCACAGTGCTGTCATCCCTCTGTGTATTTGTGTGTCTGTGCGTCTGTCTGCATCCGTGTGTCTGTGCGAGCGGGAGACAGAGCGCATTGTGTCTGCGCCTCTTTGTGTTTGTTTGTATTCCTTCGCGTTTTGTATGCATCATTGTTGAGCATCTCTATCTCACTCTCACTGTCTTTTCCTCTACTTTTTTTTGTGTGTGTGGTTTCCCAGGAAGGCTCATCCGTGCCAAGCGGATGGTAGTGGCAGCCAATCCCTCAGAATATGAGTATACAGAAGGCAGCATACCGATGGAGTGGGACGGTAAGTCTGGACCACGGCACCACTGTTACATGCTTTAACTATCACCATCATGGATAAATGACAATGTTAACAAGAGGGCTACCCAGCAGAGTACACAAAGTGCTGCACAAATAAAATGGAATAACAAATTCATGGCTGCATCTATTGGGTTCTAGGCTAATCCATTGATTTTCCTTCTTTTTTTTTTCATACTGCGAGATGGGGGTTGGGAGAAGCGTATTCATGAGTTTATCAAAGACGCCTTCTACTGGTGTTATACAACCGTATCATAAAATAGTGTTTCAAATTTCTTACAACTGGATACAAACTGTTCCCTCTGTCTCAGACTGGCTTTATCCACCTTAAACCCCTCATCCTGCTTCGCCCCATCCCTCATGCATTTTCATCAGGATGCAAATAAGAAAGGGATAAAAGAGGCCCAGAATCCCTGCGCTAGCTGGAGGAAGAGTTAGAAAATCTCTCTCTCCCTCTTTCTCTCTCTGGCTCCCTTTAACCTGCTCCGCTGTGCAGCCAGCTCAGCCAAAATAGAGCTCCTTAAAAAGAGGAGGAAAAAAAAGATGACAGACAGACACAGTTCTACTCAGGAGGAGAAAAGAAGGACAGAGCTACTGATGGAGAATGACAGAGTGTGTATTTTCAAATTCAAAGATCAGAGCAGATCCACACTGTCTCTTCTGAGACGCAGCACTCAGTGGCCCTGCTCTGCCTAGACTAAAGCAGTATTAGTGTTTTGAGTTTATCGTGTGTATAACTTTTCTGCATGTTTCCCTATAGTTTGCTAAGTGAAAAGAAACAAAACAAAGCGAAAACCCCGGATACGTTTTCCCTCAACTGGCTCGGTTACTCAGTCTTTGCACCGAGCCACTGTAGTGCCCTGAAACTCAGCGATGCTATAGCTGCAGCCTTTAAATATGACTGCAGGTTTTGTTTGTGCAGCATATGTTTGTGTGGGTGTTCTCACTCTCCTTTTTTTCCCTCCCTCCTCTCTCCTCCTCCTACAGCTTGGATCCGAGGCAGACGGAAGGAGCCCCCCTCCGTCGAGGTACGTCTCCCCCTAGCCTCCCCGCTGAGCTGATGGTTGGACTCTGGGGGGCTGGTTACAAGGGAGGGAAGAAGCCAAGATGGAGAGGAGAGGCTTTGATTTGTTTTATCTTACAGTTTCGAACTGAATCCAGGAACTTTGGGGGACAGGTGTTAAAATAAACAGCAGCTGAAGTGCATTGATGGCGGGGCGGAGAGCAAAGACAGCCTCTGAACAAGGGGCTCACTGACACCATGTCCTAGTTTACTTTCTTTTTTTCCCAGCAAAAGCCTGCATCTCGGCTTTTTGTGTTTTATTTCTGGCAGTCTCCAAGATGGGAATGCTGAAGGAGTTCAGTTTTTCCCCTCGTGTACCTCTCACTGGGTTTATTGCTCTTTAAATGTGAGAATGCTGGAAATTATTTGGCCGGTGAAATGTGGGTCTATAGGAAATCCCTTGGAAGGCCAATGCCCAGGCACTCTTTCTATCTCTCTGTCCTCTCTCCCTGCCAGTGGCCAATGCCATCCCCTGCCTCTATTGCCAGAACATTCTCTTCCAATTTTCTGCCTTGCGTCTGCCCAATAGCTGCCATTGACAGCTGGACAGTGTTGATGTGGCCAAGGCTTCACTCCCAGCACATTACCCTACCCCTTGTCACGCTCCCTCTCTTCCCGGTCCAAGCCGACATAAATTGATTGGATTAAATCCTGTCATTAACAGGCTGGAAAAGCAGCTCAGTATGTTTGTCTCCCTCCCCAAAGCGGGGCTTTTGGCCACGGCTCTCCCCTCTCTTTTCCAGTCCTTCAGTTCTGCCAGCACACAACAGCATTATGCCCAGTCCTCCCTTCCCTTTTGGCTTCTCATGCTAGGGAGAGGCTAACATCACTGGACACTAGCTGTGGCTCAAGTGGGTAACTATTCCACTGGTGGACTATGTTCAGGTTATAATTGTTTCCATGAGCTGGAATGGTTGTTTATATTGTGGATGCCTCCTGTCATGTTAGTTTACCAGGCCGTTCCAAGCACTACATTTTTAACCTGGGTTTATTGGACCAGCAGAGGTTAACTGAACACGCTTGTTCTGTTTCTAGTAAATGTCTCGCTTCATACTCCACTGACACACACATTTGTTCCTGGAAGCTGCCCAGTGCAACTTCCATGTCCCTTGTACTCCTGACTAGTGACTTTTTGTGCCTTGCTCTAAGACAAACAGAGGTGGTCGGTTTAAAGAGGGGGAGTTACCATTGTTTTACGTATGCAGGACAGTTTGAAGATTCCAGTAAGTAATCTTGTAGTCACACTCCATTTTCTCAAATCATCAGGAAACTGCCACCTCAACATTTCCAGCACCACAGACCTTGGTATATGATGTGTGTAGAGGTTAGCAATATTACGATAAATTTGCCATACTGTTAATACTGTCCCTTTCATTTATCTTGGTAGCCATAGTTTGTTAATTAAAGGAGAGGCAAGTCCCTCCCCTTCCGGTGTCCCCTATGGGACCTTATTTTGGATAAAAATACGGCAGTAGTCATGGCCGGAGACAAATAATTTTTAGATCCTGTTTGAATTGTGCCACACATGATGTTTGTCTATTTAAAACATAATGTTGCGAGTCAGGAAAGTCGCAGTTAGTCATAGGCTTGTCACAGTACCATTTAGTTTTGTGTGAAATGGCTCAGTGAGGTACATTTCCTGTCACATTATACATCACCAACAACCAGCTAGCTGGATAACCTACCTATGTTACATGCACAAGTGTAACGTTATCTTACCTGATGTGATTACCAGCGACTCCTGAGGCCTGTACTACAAAGCCAGTTCAACTTACCAACAATATCTTTTCGTTATCTGGCTTGACTAACCCTATATTGACCGTCTGGATAACCAGTACTACAAAGCTAGTTATCAACTAGTTCAGTCAACTGTGAGTTTTCCTATCCAACCACAAGCACGTTCATATAAAAGAGCAGGGGTGTTAATTATGAGCGACATCCTCAGAACCATGAATGAAGTAGGCTGCTTAATATCATATGATATAAAATGCAGAAATATTGAAAGTACTGTCCAAAAAAATCACTGTAGGCTGAGATTTAAATTATGTGTAGGTATCACTAGGTTATATGTGACATTATTATTTGAGTATTTTTTGCTATTTAGTTGGATGATGATGAATATGTCACATAAAACAGTTAAACGTAATGCCAGACTGTTTCTGCTACTGAGGTGAAGAATGGGAAAGTAGCCTATAGTTAATGACTGATGAGGTCAGTCTGACAGAAATGTTGCATTTATAATAACGGGAGCCGATTAACATAGTATGGGTTATTTTTCTAATAAAATATTATCTTTTTTCCTCGTTCTCATCACATAAGTGTCACTTTGCACAAGTTAAAGTACTGCTAAAAATCATGTGTTTAGTGTTGTAAATGATGCTCTGCTTTAAAACCAGTGGAAATAACCTGAAACAATGTAATGACCTGACCTCTAACAGTATGTAGGTTACTCTTTTTTTTTACCTGAGACTCTGGACTTTTCTCCATGGATACTTTTTTCTCCAGCAATCTGATTGGTCAGAGGTCAGGGTGTTGACAGGCTGTGATCCAATACTAACTAACTAGTTAACCTGCTCTGGGGCAGGTTAGCTGTTTAGCATGAGTTGCTATGGTGATTTTATCCTGACGAAAAGAGAACCAGCTTTGTAGTACTGAAAACCCAGAGTTAACCATGAAGTTACCTCGCTGACTCAAAATCCTGCTTCGTAGGACAGGCCAAGACCTGTTGCTTGTGTGAGTAAGTCCCAGTACGATACACACAGTCATCATCACTTCAGGGTAGGATGTCACCTACGCGATTTATCTTTCTAATTGTGTATTTTTACTGTCTAATACTTCAACAGTGTTACAATAAACTGTGACTCTCTCGACTTGCAAATCTAATTTACAAACATTATTTTTGTAATTCATGGTACAATTCAAACAGAATCAAAAGTACCATACATATTTTTTTTTAATAAGGTCACATGGTAGTGCAATGGAAGAGGAGGGACTTCCCTTTTCTATTTGCATGGCTGCTTTATTTAATATATAAAATATATACATAGTATGAAATGTATGATAAGTAAACATACCACAAAAGAGAAATTGTTTTACCCATTATCACACACTCGAAAGCCCAGCATATAATATAGTGTCACAGACAACACCTGCAAGACAGTTTTAAAACATCTTGAATTTCAATTACAAGGGTCTTGAATATTTTTCCTGCCACATAATTATAATGGGTTTTTTTGTGTGTGGTTGTGGACCTTTGGTAGATTTTACACATCTTAAGTATAAACCCTAAGTGGTTTGTTGTGACAGTGGACTGTAATGTGCAGGAGGAGGTGGAGTTTCAGTCAGCATCATGAAACCTATAGCTAACACTGTTAGCCACAGTAGGTAGAAAGCTCATTGATTCATAATGGGGAAGTGTCGATTTCAGCAAAAATTAAATTTTTAATCAGTTAATACACCAACCTTGTTCAACATATATGGATCCAGGCCACGTTGGTTGATTAATTATATTAATAGGAATTATTGATACATATAGCTTGTTTACAAAAATGTGATATGAATGTCAATAAATTACTAAACTTAATAAATCATTCTAGGCCATATCGTTTCCACCGGTTTCCCATCATTCTTTAATCAATACGACCATGAAAAACATGTTCAGTTGTATTCTATGTGGTATTAAAAAGTTAATTTGGTGAATGTTTCAGAAACCCTGAATATGCATGTATATCCACCTGTGTATCTTCCAGGAGCTGCTGAAGAATGAGGCTTACAGGGAGCAGATCAAACTGAAGGGCAAGGAGGTGGAGGAGAGAGATCTGGCCCTGCAGGCCAAGGAGTACGAGGACGGTCTGGTGGCGACTCCTCTAAAGACTAAGGCCAAGGGCCATGCAGCCAGCACCAGCTTCGGCAAGGAGGAGTTCAGCGCGGACCCCACCAGCACTGCGAACACATTCCAGCCCGGCTCGTGGATGCCCAATCCCAAGAAATAGACTGAGACATCTATAGACACTGAGACTGCTGCATTATGTAATACAAGCCATTAGAAAAGTCCTGCAATAAATACTACATTTATGAAACTGATATTCAACCAAATCTGTTTCACGGAGGTAGTATATATTTCAAGGCTGTTTTACTGGACTTTGTTACATCATGAGTTTCTAGTTTTCTAGTTGCTCTGTGTATATTGTGTATACACATGACAATAAGTACCACTTATTCTGAAGCTGACAAAAAGTGACCACAATGATTTAATGTCGCTCTAAGGTCTGTTAATAAAACAAAGAAAAACTGGAAATGGTTCTACTTCCAGTAGTCAACTATAGATACACTGCATCAGGAATATTGTGAGAAATAATGTCTAATAAACTGTGACTATTTTCATGACATCGGCATTGACTCCTTAAAAGAAAAAAAATCTTAGATATAAGTCAGATGTTGACCTCAAGTATTCAGCTACGACCAAATAAACTGTGCAGTAGATTTAAATATCCCTCAGAGCACAACATCAAAGATGAAAAGTATTACTCGTTGAGGGAGCACATGGAAAAGCATATGTTAAATCCTGTGGGAATATGCAGATAAGCTCATAGTTTTTAACTCTAAACTGAAGTCTGACATCAGCTCAGGCCTGAAGATGGTGCCATGAAACTGTGCTTCTATTAAAAACTGTGTTAATGTTTCTGTTTGTCATGGAGGCGGCGTCTGCTGCTTGTAAATCACAAGCTGACAGAATGAATAATGTTACAGTGTATTGATCCACAGTAAGAAGTGCTTTCACTTGAGGTCAGAGGGCACGTTGGCACCAGAGTTGCTGAGGAAAGTTCAGCAGGGTTTAGGAAAGTAGCCTAAGCCTAGGGAGGAAGAAGGATATGTAAACATGTGTGCTTGTCTACTTGTTTTTAGAATCATTAGTGTCACAGTGAATGTAACTAGTTTTTAATACTTATAAACTCTTTAAAAACTACCAAATTTAATGCACCTATTTGCAAATAGATCTAAATGAAGAGCATACACTATATCAAACTAAATAATTGTCTGCATAACTATAAAACCTGGCCAAAATAATCTCTGTTCACTCCCTCCCAGTCAATATTTCATAAAGACACCTTTGGCAGCGAGTTGTTTTTTACAGCTGTTCCCTACTACGAGGGATATTCAGTGCCTTGGAAATATTCTTTTATCCTTCCTCTGACTTGTTTGGATCTTCTTTTGTCTCCATATTGTAGTTTTTCTTTTTTCAAACTGAGTAAGAGTGGGACCTCGCAGATGCAGCAGCATTTTACCTAAATTCAGAACTTCTAAAAGACAACTGGCTGTTACAGATAAGATGTGATTATTTTTGATCGATCTGAGGAGTCTTTTTTGTCAGTCAGTACATTAAAGTCTAATCACACACTCTGGCTCAGTGTTACAATAAAATAAAACTTGGGGATGAATATTTTTCATGTGCACTGAATTTAAAGCAGCTGTGATACATTTTCAGCCTGACAGTAAATCCAAAAGGAGGACATGTTCTTATCAACCATGAAAACTTTTATTGATTAGAAAGTAGTATTTGGGATATTTTGGAAAAAGTTCCAGTATGCTCATTACATCATCAATTCAACAGAACATGGATGCTAACAATGGAATGCAAGGTGTTGCGGCAGCTGCACAATATTATCAGCGGATTTCTGTATAACGTCGTCACACAGATGACCACCGTGCTCTTGCTGACCAAAGTCCCACCGGGATGAGCCTCCTTCGGGCAGTACTGTCCATCTCAGCACTGTTAGGCCTATGGGGCCAGTCTCCTACCCCGGACATGAGGCGTAGTGGCCCTGTGCTGACAGAAGGGCTGGGACAACGAAGGGCACCGTGTCATTATTTGGAATAAGGAGGGCTGTGAGTATGGTGGCTGCTCCTCCCTTTTTTCTATGCCCTCATTCTACCCAAAGGCTCAGTCCTTCTTGGTCCTCTTGGCCTTGGCTATGTTTTCCTGACGTTTCTGCTTTTTCTTCTGTTCCCGGTCACGTGCCTCAATCATCTTGGCCAGTTTCCAGGACAGCAGTGCACTGGCAATGAAGAGAGGTGTGAGAGCCAGTATGACAGTGGTGAGGAAACCGTAGGGGTCCTTGGCAGCCCACTCCACCACATACTCTGCCCATGCCCGAACATCAATCATTCTGGTCAGCAACGGTGAGGCTCAACCAAGCCTGAGAGAGGGTACCAGGAGAGAATGCAGTGAATAGCCAGCACATCGTTATACATAGAAAGAAAAGAATATAAACAGAGAACCTTCAACCAATAATGATATTTGAGAGTGGGCAATTGGGTGTCATGGATACAATCTACTTTCACAAAGAGTGAGAAACTGTTTACAGACAAAACAATCAGATTGATGAAACAGTTAAGTCTAATCAACAAAACTTTATTGCAAACAATTTTGATAATCAACTCAGTATTAAAGTCATTTAATGTTCCTGGTTGAACCTTCTCAAATGTGAGGCTTGGCTTCTCTTTTATCTTGTGTATCACTGTCAATATAAAGTCAATATATTTGGGTTTTGGGCTGCTGGTTGCACAAAACGTACCACATAAGTTACACTGGGTTCACTTTAAATTAGATATAACCAACAAGATGTGTCAGCTCTGGTAGTTACCAGCTACACTCCTCCAGGTGGTTGCTTTTTAATGTACCCCGTGTTTTAACTGACCTGGGGAAAACTGCAGTCTCCTACTATGCACCATAGACATGGAGCAATCTTCAAAATGATTTAAAATTAGAAACACTTATATCCATTGAGGAATTTAAGGGCATCATAAGGAATGTGGTGACAGAGACATGTGCTTGTTTTTCTTGAGAGGCCACTATGTTTAAATAGTTGTTGTATTATTGTGGATTTTTGTATTATATGTTGTATTTGTTGCATTTTAAATGTGTTTTCATCGGCTGCTACCTTGGCCAGGTCTCTCTTGTAAAAGAGATTTTCAATTTCAATGGGACCTTCCGGTTAAATAAAGGTTGAATAAATGAATAAATAAAAAGATCTTTTTCTTCCACAGGGTCCTGGCAAAAGTTCAAGTACTTTCTAAAACTGATGCATGAAAATAAAATAAGAAAAGGAAGAAAAACACTTTTATTATTAGTATTTTGGAGCTTTCTGAAGTCCTAATGGTTACGGCACATACCACATGACCTCAACATTTCACACCCGTCTCTCTTGTTTCCAGTCTTACTCTTTACAGTCTCATGTGATAGAGTCAAAAATGGCCATGAAATAAAATAAAATGCACCAAGAGACACTACAAGTATAGCATAAATATATACTTTTTTACAGTGGTACTACAGTAGTCTATATTGTACTGACAAATACATTGATATAATCTCAATGTTTAGAGGGAGCTAGATGTATGTTGTCTAATCTACAATAATCTCATCAGGATACAGCCTACTCTTTTGAGTAAAACGGTCATTTAGATGAGAGGATGTGCAGTTCTGCTGAGTCAAAGGCAAATTGACTTACTGTATTATTTTACAGGAGGTTTTCTGTCATTCATGGGAGTGCTAATATAATATCTGAGATGAATACCAAACAACATGCTCAAATCTTTGAGTGTAAAGAAAGCAAAGCTGCTTTGACTTAAAATCTCTGTTTTTAAGTATATAGTTTGATAGGCTACTAAATATGAAACAAGAACTATATATATTTCATTGCAATAGAAGTTGATAAGAAATGAATATCTTTTGGGTAACAAGTCCAGTGATTATTGTCATACACAAAATGACAGCTGGCCTTTTATAGGTAACACTGCCGTTAGCTAACGGTTGTTAATTGCAATTAACTTACTAAGGTTAACACAGACAGCTTTTAGCATTTTGCATCGTGTTTTCAAACCACAACCCATCGTTAACAAACGGTTAACCGCTGGCATTGCTGTCATGACAAACCAGTATCTTCTTCTCTTCTCAAGCCATGTATTATAGCTTATGGCTACTTGTTGATCGCCCCGACCTGACAGTCGCTTGTGAAACTGCTCATGACCACCGGCTTCAACTAGCTTTAACCCGAGGCTCGGCTAACATCCATTAGCTGTATCCGGAAACCCGTTACAACTGTGTACTCTAGCTACAGTCTCACACAACCAGCCTGTTATGATAAATTCACCATGTTCGCCACTGAGATTAGATCAGAATATTTAAAAAGCGCATGAAAGATTTACATTTCTACAAACATTAGCACCGCAAGCTAACCCGCCCATCCATAACGGCCTAACTTTAAACTCAAGAGCACTGACTTTCGGATAAACGGCGAAACAACATCGCATATGAACGTGACAAAACAACAAATCTTTATTTTCATTTCGGTAAGTAGTGGTAAAAAGACAGTACATACAGAATAAACTTACCAATAAGCAGAGATTGTATTTATATCCACGATAAGTACCAGCAACTCCCTGTTCCAGGAAGTGTAACCGTTGTGCCCCCCACTGCTCGCTCGTGATTGGATATGACGTATCCCTTCAAAGATGGGAAATGTAGTCCTTTAACCTGAATCATGAATTATCAAAATACAGGGCAAAAAACAGTAATTAATGCAATGCTCTGGCTCTAATTTTGCTTATTGTATAACATTGCGTACAAATTGTGTAACCCACAAGAGAGAATTGCGTGTGAAAGAGTGAATGAAAGCAGCAGTAACATTAATAAATAGGCTATAAAATTTAAAACATTCATAACTGTTTGTATTGTTGCTCCTTTTCTTTTATTCTTTAACAAGGGTGTTTTAGGAAGATCTACATGTAGCATAATGTGAGTTGAAAGAACTTTCAGTCATATTCTGAATTACTCTAAAACTTTTGAGATTGTTTTTTTTATTATTTAGGGTGCAGAATTTAAAATGTGATTTCCAGTGAAATAAATCAAATGTCTCCGTGAGTAAATAAAGGTGTTTGATATATTATGATCAGTTTTGATTATAACAGGAGAGTAGACCTGTGACCAGACAGTTGCTAGCTGAAATCCACAGATTACTTGTAAAAGTTTGGGTATAGTACTCTCTTGTTTTTCAGGGTTCCCCACAGAAAGACTGTGCATATGTGTGGCATGAAAATGCAGTAAAACAATGTCTGCTGGACAATTGTTATGGTAAAATATTGGACACTGATTACCAATGCAAAACACAATGTGGTACACTCCTTTACTGGATATAAAATCAGATGACATCTAGCTGTTGAAACTTCTGGTCATGTGTGGAACTGCTCAGTCTGAGGAATAAAACAAACGATAAGGCAATAGCTGTGTCAAAAAAAAGCAAAGGCTCCACTGGCCCTCTGGGAAAGATGACTAACATAACAAAGAAGGACCTGCTGGCTTTGTGAACTTCCTGTGGGGAAGTATTGAA